AGATGACTTCAAACGCCTCGCTGATTTTCTCACCTGTGAATCTGCTACAGCTTAACAAGTACGACCTCAGGTTGATGGCAGACTTCTTGATTTCAATTGCATGTGCAGTCACACTAAGGAAACCTCTCATCTGTCTGTCTGAGCAGATATCTACAATGGAAGAAACCCAAGTTGTTTCTTCTACTTAAACCCTGATGAGATCTTTTTGTTTTGTAACCATGTCACTTATGTGGGATGATACAGTTCCTCTACTAACTTGCTCATACTTGCCATCTAAAATACCTATTAAATGACGAAAACTATCATGTTCAATTACTGATAGTGTCATCTCACAGTTAATAATAAGGTCGGATATAACAGCCTCAGTAATCGCTCACTGACAGGGAAGTGATGCTCTATGCACAGTGACTGGGCTAGTTACAAAAGGTGTAATTGACCTCTGGCTTTGATATGTAATTCCGATTATTGTCTTTGAATCGCAGTACTCTTTAAATCTGTGCATAAAACATTTTAATTACTTAAAAAAGGAAAGAAAAAAAACAGCTAAGGTGAGCTAAGAACAAGTTTGTGAAAGGTTTAACATCTTTTGAAATAAGTCATAAAAATGTAAACCTTGATGGATGAGTGTGACTTGCATCTTTGGGCCATGTAAGTTTAATTAAAATCAATCATAAACTTTTCAACTATGACAAATTTTGAGTGTTTTTTTCTTTTTTGCCAATCTGACTTCTAAATGGCCTATGAATTTTGAGGTCTGATTTACATGCATTTTTACAGCAAAAATCTTGTTTTGCTCCTTTAAGTTTAAAATTTTTAATAATTCCATCGAAATTGGACAGGTATTCATGGACAATTGATATGATTATGATTAATCATGTGTATGTATATATATATATATCATATTGGTCATGTTTATATTTAAACAACAATTGTTAAATTATGAACACTTAAAAAAAACAAGATTTTTGTTGTAGTAATTTATGGTAACAAGATAAAACAACGTCATATCAAGTATATTTATCAACTCATACGAATTATCTCCCAAAAATGAAAGAAATATATAAATATGAAAGTGGGGGGTATTGTTATACCTTTTTTAAATGCCAAAAATCATAATTCAACAGTCATTTTCATTTTATTTTTATTAACTTACGTACTAATTCGAATCTCTTCTTTCCAAATCTGACACTTTATTGGAATTGTAAAGTGTTTTTTGTTTTTGTTTTTTAATATTCAGGCCCTTCAATGTGCACCTTAAGTTATAATTAAAGTATATGCCGGTATTGCAAAGAAAATAGGACATTACACCATACCTTGATACTCAACCTCAGTGAATTGTATTTACAAATTACATTGTAATATAAGCCTAAGCTAGGCCTAGATAGTCTTTTCAATACCTGATGTAATATAGATAAGGGGAAAAGCTACTTACCTCTTAGCGTGGATTTTCAAATGCCGTAAAAATTTGAAGTAATTTTTGGCCCATCAGTAACCTTACTTTTGCAGGTCTTGCAGTAAGCAGATCTTTTGATGTACGACACTCGTAGTCTTTAAGTTTAAAACCAAACGATAAAACTCTCGGGATCATACTAGCGCCTGTAGCTGCCATTTTGCTACCTTACTGAGTTGACACTACATAAACAATGAACACATACACTGTATACCACTCTCAACGCGAGTTAGTCAATTTGACTGACTACGTGACCTTATTGTACTCGTTTTAAAGTATTTATAGTTTTGATACTACTAACTTTTAATACAGTATTTATATCTTCACAAAATTTGGCAAACTTTCAGTAAACATTATTAGTCTTTCACACACAAAAATAATATATTTTAGTGAAGTATTTTTAATAAACTAAAAAAAGATTTGTCCGTGAATACATTGTTACGTATCTGCTTGTTTTTTAATTCCCGGTAGAAATTCTTTCCGAGGATCTTCAGCGATTCAAGTCCTTTCTTGATTAAACCAGTTTATTCTTTCTCGATACAAACTTTTAGTATACAGTAATTTCACAGTCAGTACGTTTCTAGTTACTTTAAACTTAACAACTTTTATAATACACGCTATAAATCACTGCGATTCACAATCTCGATAGCTTCGCTCTCTAAGAGTGCAAAACACACACTAGTTCGAAACAGAATCGCAAATTACCCAAAAAACCGTAACTACTGTTCGCTTAACTATCCCTTCGCCTTTTCTCTGCCAGGCTTATATACTAACAAAGAGGCGTTTCGATCACACTCGAGCTTCCCCGATAATTCGAGAAACTCAGTCACGCATGCGCTAGCAGCATCACGTGACTTCCGCTGTCGTAACAATATCCATTATTTTCTTTTACTATTCCGCGTGCAAAGTGATTTTCATGTTAAGATTCAAAATACTTTATAGAGTTGATTTCTTCATCTATGTATTCCTTCATTCAAACAACAAATCACCACTAACTGCTGTCAAAAAATTTCCACACAATTTGGTTTGGTTTGAATTTCGCGCAAACCTACACGAGGGCTATCTGTGCTAGCCGTCCCTAATTTAGCAGTGTAAGACTAGAGGGAAGGCAGCTAGTCATCACCAACCACCACCAACTCTTGGGCTACTCTTTTTACCAATGAATAGTGGGATTGACCGTCACATTATAACGGCCCCACGGCTGAAAGGGTAAGCTTGTTTGGTGTGACGGGAATTTCCACACAACCACCAAAACAAAAACCTCAAAACTCAACTCACAAACAAAATTGACAATGGTACACCATACAACAATGCAACATTACACTGCAGTTTACCATTTATCTCTGACATCAGTTAAAAATAATCAACACTTGGAGAAAACTTGCCATTAAACATAAAATCCCTGTTGACTTCAAATTCACCTAAAATTCGGTCCTAAACTAAAATCATTATTAAATAAAAATTACATAGAATCACATAATACCAATGTAATTTATAAACCAGAATTCTACACCAGAGAAACTGGTAGAAAATTGGAAACCAGATTCACCAAACATAATAAAATACCCTCCCATGTTTACCACCATTGCAACTCAAAAAACTCAGTATATCTATATAAAACACTATAATTTTAAACAAAGAACCAAACATTTAATTGAATAAAACAGCCCCACCCCAAACCAACACCCAGGGTACCAAGATACTTTACTAAGCTGTAAAGCAATCTCCGATCATGTGACCTTTTTGTTCCATGGTGTATATATATATTCATGTGTCTTGTAAACTACTTGTATGTGAGGATGACATGATCTTGTTGAAACATCATGTACATATAATAAAGTTTTTCATTACCCAGTCAAGCCATCTCAAAACTTTGCTTTTTTAAAAAGTGGGTTCCTTTTTATCAAATTTACATTCAAAATTTAATTAAACTACACTTTGTTTATGTTATACCAATCAGTATATCATAAAATCTTGGCTAATAGTCCATATTTTAGTTGTATATAAGTTTTTAATTTTATAAGGCAATATTAAAAAAAACATCCTGAATTCCCCTAGTGTGAGAAATGTGATATTTTTTTCTTGAGACATCCCCTCTTCTCTAATTTATTTACCACCCCTCCAAGAAGTACGAAATTTAACGAATTGTTCACGACTTCTATATGATGGCAAGTAGCATGGGTCTAGAATAGCAACAAATTATTCAATATGTACATGTACATATACCAGCGAACTTTTACGTCTCAGTGTCAAGAACACTAAAGATGAAGAAGGTCTTTGCTCAGAACTCAGCTACTCCCAGTGCTTTATTAGTAAAATTTAAGAACGTATTTTTTTTTTTTTACATGTGCTACTATGTGCTTGTTTGTTAATTTCTGGTATAAATTCTTTCTGAGGAACTTCAGCGATACAAGTATTTTCTTAATTAAAACTAGTTTATTCTTTCCCGATACAACTTTGTAATACACAGAATTTCCACAGTCAATACGTTTCTTGTCTCTTTACTTAACAACTTTTATAATACACACTATAAATCACAGCGATTCACAAGCTCGATAACTTCGCTCTATAGGACGACTGCAAAACACACAATTTACGGCTCATCGTCACTACTGTTCGGTTGACTCAATTATCTATCTCCAGCTGGCTTTCTTTGGCAGGCTTATATACTAAAAAAGGGGGCATTTAAATCGCACTCGAGCTGCGGGCAAATTAATGATCATTCGAGAAACTCCAGCGCGCATGCTCCCAGAGTCACGTGACTTCCACTGTCGTAACACTTGGATTGTCAACAAGTCATTTAAGTCAAGTTGCAAGTCAAGTGACAATGGGCAAGTCGCAAGTCATTTTGTCCGAGTCACAAGTAAAACAAATTATGAGTAGAGTCTACAACTCTGCCCCTTTTTAACGAGAAAATTAACCCATCCTCCGAACCCTTTCCAACAGTTCAATGTAAGGAGCCAGAGACTAAAAACAGTACTCCAAATGTAGCCTACACAACGACATTATAACCTCTTTAGGCTTGTACTCAATATTTTTGTAGACACAACCTAAAATCCTATTTGCCCTGCCACCAGCAACAATACATTGCTTGGATGGCTTTAGAGACTGAACAGTCAGAACACCAAGATCATTTCTTCTATAATAATGTTAAAGATATTCCCATCAATAATATATTCATAATTCATATTGTGATATCCCACGTGTTACCTTACATCTATTATAATTAAAAAAACATCTGGCACTTATTCGCCCAACTCATCAAGTAATCCAAATTATTTTACAAAACAGTAGCATCCTCCTCACAAATAGCAACATCCAAAACTTTAATTTAATAAGCAAATTTAAATAATCTATTGAACATTCATTCATCTATGTCATATATGTAAAACAAAGGTCCTAACACTGAGCTCTGCAGAGACCCACTCTGGACATTATTCTAGTTTGACTAAACTCCATTTATAACAACTCTCTGCTTTCTTCCACTTAGATATAGTAAGTTATATGGTACTATTTCATATTTCATTTTTTTTTAATGAGCAAAGCCGTAAACTTACCGCTGCCCCACCGGGGGACATATATTTTACAGGAATGGAGTGTATCGCGTTTTACATCTAGCCTAATTACACACGCACCTGTATCTTATCTCCAGTGTTGAGACATCAAATTTAGTTATTAAAGTCTTAAAGTAAGCTAAATGTGCTAGGTGGCAACTACTTTAGGGATAATAGTAATATGATGTTGAGGTAAAAAATGGCGAAATTTAGAGGTTCTAGTGCAAATTTGTTAACGTCACACTCTCGGGAATTAGGCAGTCAGGTGAAAAAATGTTCATCATGGACTCATTATCACTTTTCGGCATTTTTCATTACATTTTTTAGGTGAGTTTTTGGTATAATTTTAAGTTTATCAGTTGGGTAAAAGAACAGAGTTTACATTATAAATATAATTTAAGTTTTAACTTTAAAATTAACTGTTAGTGTTACTGTTACAACTTACATTGTTACTGTAAAATTAAAAGTGTAATAGTGTTATCAGTACATTTTAACAAACAGTACTAAGTAATACTAATAGTCCAAGTAGTGGGATAGGTGCCCTTTTTATATTATTATTATTGAATTATTTATTGCAATTTGAATAGCTAACCTATTATTTGGGCTAATTCTGATACTGATAAACATTTACTTTTAAACGTATTTTATGATCAAATATTGAAGATTTGGGGATTGCAGAATTTTCTTTTTTCAATTTTTTGAGTTTTTCTTATATTATTATTATTAGTAGTAGTATTATGCCATTTACGATAGTATGCTAATAAAATAAATAATACTGATAGTGATACAGTAGGTATAATTACGTAACAAAGGATATTGACTTATTCTGCTATTGGAAAAGTTTTAAAGGACAACTAGTAGGATGAATCCAGGAATATAAAGGTTATCTTAAACTTCAAGAGATAGCATAAGCTTTCTAAGCTTATTTTCTCTTGAGAGAAAAAAAAGGGCAAGAAATGATTTTAATTAAGTTTGATAAGTTGTCATGAAGATCAATAGGCTAAAGGTCTCCGATGTTGTTTTGCACTGTTCTGAAGATAATAGGACAAGTAAACTCAAGCTTTGGAAATGACAGGATAAACTCCAGGCAAGACACTTATAAATATGATTGACTTATGAGTTGTCAGTAGTAGTGGATACTAGCATTTTACAAGAATAGAAAAGGGGAAATTGGTGATTTCCTGAAAAATAAATGATGCATTTAAATTTTTAATTTTCTCAAGGACAGCTTTTAAGGACCAGTTAGTGCCTGGTTGTTTGTATATTTTGTTAGAGGTAGCTAAGCAAGAAAAATGAGTACAGAACATCCTTAGTAAGGCTCTACTCTCAAGTAGAAAGTAATGCTGAAGAAGCATGCATGTGTGTTGCTGTTCATTTCAGATCCATCATACCTATAGAGATCATTTTTGTAACAAGCCTTTTTATTGACACCTTGTCCAATGTATTCTGAACATCAAGATACACAAAATCCACACACCCCTACCCTCATATACTTAAGCAATAACCTCTGCACTATGATATTTGAACTACACACTTTTGAACTGGGTACAAGTCTTTAAAATCCATCTGGAGTTTTGTCACTCAGCAGGCTTGCATCCATGACTAACTTTTATTCTCAATAGGTGTGTGACTGTGAATTGTAGTGTCATTAACAACAGAATTTAAATAAATTAACAGGTTTGTTTTTCTCAATTTTGTCTAGTCCTGTTTTTAATAAAACAACATTAGCCATTTTTCAGTCATGCAGTATAAACCCAAAATCACTAGATTGTAGATCACAGCTCTAAAACAGTGTAGGTGAAGTTGTAAGATGAATTTAGCATTGAAATAAAATCTGATTTATAATTCAAAATATTTACATATCAGAGATACATGTAGGTCAAAAGCTATCAAGTTTTTTTATAAAGAAGATATACTTAAATTAGTAAAGTGCCTTCTTGAGTGATACTGCATAGTTATTTCAAAGAATAATAAAAAAAATTGTCAGTATATATGTGTGTGTGTGTGTGTTTATTAATCGCTTATTTTTCTTTAGCTATGCCATTTTTCACGCAACAAGAAAAACTTTTAGCAATTTAAAGACCACAATTCAAGCAGAATGGACACCTTTTAATAGGACTTATCCTGATTTT